GTCCGTGTATCGATACAGTATTGCCGCAGAAAATATCGCGATACTATGCTGTATCGATTTTTCCCCCCACCCCTAATGGAAACCACTATTTTCTGTATTTCACTATTCACTATTTTTCAGAGTACTATAGTACCGTGATAGAATAATATTTAACATCTGATACTATAATTGTACCATGGTAGGGTTGTCAAAAGTACCGAGTTTGGTACCAGTCGGTACTGAAATGTAAAAAATGTGACAAAATGCCACGTCTATCGGCGGATCCCTAATATATCTGCTCATAGATGGCTCGTAGAAGAATCCGTTCGAAATGCTAGCGGGAAATGCTGGTATCATCACATTTTTAACATTTCAGTACTGACAAGTATCGAAGTCAATACTTTTGACAACCCTACCATGGTACAGCCACATTACTTTTTTGCAAGAGAATATGTACTCTTCACTTTTCAAATTGTACTTACACATGTTAATATGTCCTGATTTGATGTATCAGTTATTGAAATAGCATCTTTCATTAACTTCAGCACAATGGATAAGGGCCAAACGATAAAGCTCTTCGTAGGAAATCTGGCCCTGGACACCACCCAAGAAGAACTGTCAGCCATCTTTGAGTCGTATGGCCAGGTGGTTAGCTGCAGCGTCTTGAGACAGTTTGCTTTCGTACACCTGCAAGGAGAGGGTGCTGCTGAACGTGCCATCCGGGAGCTCAATGGCCGAGAGTTCAAAGGACGTAACCTTGTGGTCGAGGAGTCCCGAGGACGCCCGCTCCACTCGACAAAGGTGTTTGTGGGTAATCTGAGTAGTATGTGCACCACAGAAGATCTTCGGGAGCTGTTTCAGACCTTTGGGAAAGTTTTGGAGTGCGATAAGGTGAAAGGTAAGAGAATATCAAGCTCTTTCAAAAACTTAATGAAAGAGAAGTCAGGCCTGCTCCTGGAGGGCTACCATCCTGCAGAGATCTAATCAAACATACCTGAACCAGCTATTTAAGGTGTTCAGGATTACTAGAAAATAACAGGCAGATGTGTCGGAGCAACATAGCTATCCAGGGACAAGGTTTGCTATTCCTAATTTAAAGTATGTGTTAGAGCTCATGTAGGGTACCACATGCTTCTGCATTATTCTGAGATTTACTAGCGGGACCCCATAATAAAAAAGTTGTTTTCTTCTGCAGGTTATGCCTTTGTGCACATGGAGAACAAGGAGGATGCACTGCAGGCTCATCGCCATGGCAACACCCCGCGTGTATGAGCCACCGCCGATTCCGCCGTCGCACAAGGAGCCCCTCCTCCGCCGCTCCGAACTCGCCCTACACACCCCTGAAACACCCTTCCGATAGTGTGCTCCACGTCCTCTCTGCCTCTCCTTTCCTTGTGCTGCGTGTGTGTGTGTGTCAGAAAGAAGCCACAGGTGTATGTTTATGACGTGTGCGTGCTTGGGTTTAAGACGGTGGCTGTGTCGATTTTAACTACAGACTGGATTCTCTAACCTTGGTTCTGATCTCAAACACACCCAGTGTAGTCAGGGAAACTGCATGCTCTCATTCCTGCACACTTAACCAATGTAACACATTGTCTGTTTAAAGAAACCTTCAATCTATGGCCAATTAGTTTTGAAGGGTAGATTAGGCACTAGTCATGATGCTTTTTAACTTTTATATTCTTAAGTGTTTGTAGTCTATGAATGAATACTGGACTTGATATTTTTAAATATTGCTTGATTATAGTAACTTTACCAGTTTACGCATTTATATAGTTATTAAGAAGTTAGATTTCAATGCATTTCAAAAATGTTTAAATAAGTTGAATGTATGTATGTTTACTCCAAAGGTGTGTGAAGTGTAGGACCAGGGTTGGACAGTATTTTACATGTCTTTGTGTGTGTTTCTTGTTTTTCTCTGGGACTGTGGTGTAGCGTGTATGCTTTCCATTGGTTGTCACGACAGGAACGCACACGTGTACACGTGCACAGGGAAGCAACCTCGATCCACACGCACATACATACGCATCCCTTACACCTCAGATGGGAGAAACTTTAGTGATGACCTTTAACCCTACCCTTCCATCCCTGTCCACCCATCCTGAAAGCTGAAAGACACTGTGACTTCTCTCCCCGCCAACTTTAATGTAGCTACTTCCATAGATATGGTGAGGTATGGGAAGCAACCAATCAGAGGGAGGTGTAGCTAGTCAGCTTTTGCTGTGATCTGTCTTATGGGAGCATCTCTAAGCTCGCCAACTTAACTGCCATGATGCATTGTAGAATCTGTTTTTGTAAAATGTCTTTTATTAATGCTATCATGTTTTTATAAAGAGTGATAAGGGACTCAAGTATCCATTTAAAGACACATACTCCTTTCAGTTGTTAACTTTTGTTTACAGCTGCAAGAGAGAGAACATGTTCTTTCTTGTGGCTTTTTCACAGTGATTGTTTATAGCCAAATTCCCAGTGATTGTTTTTAGCCAAAATTCTTTTTTTTTTTTTTTTTTTTTTCTAGAAAAACAGCCAAAATCATTAGTGGCCTATTATTCTTTTGCCTTAGTAGTAAAATGTATTACATTTTTGCAATTTTTTTTTAATCTGTAGTCTTATAAAGTGAAACTGGATTAAGGCTACACGAAAGTGCTGTATATTCTGTGGTGCTGTGATTTGGTATTAAATGAATTGGGAGATTCCTATCAGTTTCTTTCAGTCTTCCTGCTCATTTCGCTACTGCAACTCCATAGATGACCCTCACTGCATCTCTCTTCATCTTTCTTTGCATCTGCCTCTCATTTTGTGACAGTATTTCATTCGTTTACCATGCCCCTGTTCGCACCTATGTGCTGAGGATGCCAGTGTGTGAATGTGATCTTAGAAAACGTTTTGCATCGACATTCATGTTTGTAGTTTCTATCATGGTAACTGTTCTTGCCGCAAGTGTTCTCAGAAGAGAAGACTTTAAAGATCTGTACACGATCTTTACGACTATAACAAGCCTTCAAATAAAGAGCCTGCCTGATAATTTAAAGAGGGAACTCAAGAGCTTTTGCTTGGAGCTTTAGCTGTTTTTGCTTTTTGATGTTTCATAATTGTTTTTCCTTTGTGAAACGACCAGACTCGTATGAATCGGAGCCCTGAAAAGAAGCTAAAGGACATGAGACTGATCCCAATCTCACCCCTGTCTCTATGGATGGGGTAAGTCTAGGGGCAATCCCACTCTATACCCCCCAGCTGCACACACCATACCAAGCCCCTTCCCCAGGAGCAGCAAAATCTTCAACCCAGCTTTTAGTACTTTTTAACCACACATAGTCCCCATGCAGCTTCTTTAACTGGAGTGTGGTACGATGATGACTATACTTGACATGCTGTTATGATGCAAGCATATTGTAAAACTGATATGTGTTAAAGTGAGTGTGAAAAAGTGACGTGACTGGCCAAGTATGGTGACCCATACTTGGAATTAGTGCTCTGCATTTATCCCATCTAAAGTGCACACACACAGCAGTGAATACACACACACCGTGAACACACACCCGGAGCAGTGGGCAGCCATTTATGTTGCGGAGCCCGGGGAGCAGTTGGGGGTTCGGTGCCTTGCTCAAGGGCACCTCAGTCGTGGTATTGAAGGTGGGAGAGAGCGCTGTACATTCACTCCCCCCACCTACAATCCCTGCCGGTACGAGACTTGAACCCACAACCTATGGGTTACGAGTCGACTCTCTAACCATTAGGCCACGACTTCCCCAGTGTTAAGTGGCACCCACACTGTAAAACATTTTTGCATTTCCTTGGTACGTGATGGGGCTGCAATTGTAAATTAAAGATATCTCCCACAAGGCTTCGCTCACTTCTGCTTCCATTGTGCATGTTCATTTTTTGTTTTCTTTTCACCCCCAAAAACAAACGTTTTCTGATGTGACTGTTCCAACTGAACTAGGTCCCTATGGAACTGTGGACACCAAACGCAGAGCTGGTTTGGGGGGGGGGAAGAAAGTTAGCGTCGCGCAATGCACGGAAAACTCTCTCTCACTCCATACAGGTAAACGCACTGTGCCTCGCCCCTTTCTACCTGTCGTCCTTCCCAATAGCGTTTGCGCCTGACCGTGTATCCGCTCTATTTCTCCTCACCACCACCCCACCCCTCTTGTAGATTCCTCACTTCTCGTCACCACTGCCATAGCCAATTGGATCTCGAAACACCAGTGTTATGCTACTCTCTGTCACTGCCAAAAAGGGGGGTGGCGGGGGTGACCGTTTACTGCTTCTGTGGTTAGTGTGTCTCGGTAATGGGTGGGTGCTTGGTGCTCTAATAACTGATCTGTTGGTTTAGCTTTGGAGAGAGTGTGGTTATAATGTGTCCATAAGCAATTGAATGTGTGGAATTGCTGGTCAATGATTGAAAGACTGTGTAAAATGAGCGTTAAAACAAGTTAGCAAGGGTGGCTGATAAAGGTGTGTGACAAAGGTGAGTGATTGTGAGTCAGTGTCGTCGACCTCATCTGGCCCCCCCTTCCATGTGCCTTTTTTGTTTGTTTATATGATTTAACGCTTGCCCCCAGGCTTCCTCGAGTCTACTCGCCGTTAATGCCGAGCTCACCGCCGCCCTCGTCGAATCCCCAGTGCTAGTTGTTACGTTTGTTCAGTGTTAACCACTGCTTGAACGCATCCCTGAAAGCTCTGTGACTGGACCTGAGACACTGGCCCAAATTGTATTCGCAAGACTCTCATTTGGACTCAGTGACACTGACAACCCTTATCAAGCATTGCTTGACTCTCTTACACTGCTGAACCACAACCCAGCAAAGCATTCTTATTATAAACTTCTGCTTTTGTTTCCAAGATTGACAACAATTCTTGAGTGGAAGCTTAGGCATAGTCATCCCAAATAGTTACCAAATTTATTTGGTTTTTGTTTGTCAGATTAAAAGACATTCTACTTTTAAATTAATCTGAAAGCTACCTTGTGTTACCTGTTTAAATGAGAGTCTGTTACGATATTTGTGTTTGCAATAGCTGAGTGTACGATAAGTAGGTGGCACAGATTTAGATCGCCTACCTGGTTAAATTAAATACCCGGTAGAAGAATGCCCTAGAAAACAAGCAGCTTCAGCTGGGAAAAATTAAGACTGCTGAACCTGAGCTGCCTGAAGGATACTTGCAGGACCTTTCCTCCAGAGGGAGCATGGTAGTGAAGTGTGATTTATTTCACTAGAAGGTGCTGTTGTTCTTGATTTTACTTGCTTTTCCTGATGATGATGTAGCATCTTCACATACATTGTCACACATCTGAATTTCTTCTTGTCTATAGTGTTTGTTTAACTTTGCCTGTAGAATTGAGGGGAAAAGAATGAGATGACCTCAGTTTTAGATCTTATTCTGGAGGAAAGGGAACTGTCCAGTAGCTGGTACTCCCAATGTTAGTGGTATTAAGATCTTTGGCTTGCAGATATTTGTGGTTGACAGATTTCCGTGATGTCCGTAGCATCCGTTGATGATGAAAGATGTCTGCGGCAGATAGATATCAGAGGTGTTTGAGAAGAACCTTCCATACAGAATCTTGGTTCTTAAACATGGTTCTTGGTTCGTAAACAAATCACTTACCTTCTTCTCCAACTTGCTCTTCCAGCTGAAGTCTCTTTGAATCTAGATGGTACGCTCCAAAATTTTCAATGGATAACAGATTTTTTTTCTGTCTACTTCCTCCCTAGATATCGTCAAACTTTCTGTTTAAATTGGACAATAACAATAACACAACCTCTAGTGTTTGTATTCCATTATATTTAGAAAACTCTAGTATTTTCTTTTGTTTTTCTTTTTTATTTATCTTTTTAATTTTTTCATTTTTTTTTTTACTTTGATTCTTTATATGGATATCCCCTACTGAGTGAAAAGGCTCCTCCAGTACTTTTGAAAGATAAAGTGATTAATTTTTTATAATTCATGTATGAAACGTGAATAATTTCTATTGCAGGTGATAGGATTTGAGCTGGTTGTAATGTTTTTAATCACCTTCTAATGAATATATGCATGCTTTGTTAGTGTGTGTGTATATTGCAAAAACCTTGCGACTGATAAAGTGTACTCTCCTACACCAGCTTCTGCATGAACACTGTTTGGCATCGCATGCTTACTGCAATAAACTAGAACTATGACAGCATACTCTATGTTGTGCTCATTTACTTGTCATCCTTTTAAAGAAAGAATGATTTAATTTTCTTGATTTTTTTTAAAGTAAAGGATTGCATACAAATCAATCTCTGTGTTGTTTTTTTAAGTAATATTTTACATTTTTCCATAAGACATTTTTTCTTGGAATGGGTCTTCTAATTTACCTATTACAGACTTGTCTCTGTTTTATTTAAATATTAAAGAATCACTATTGTGTGTAGTAAGCAGTGACCGTATAGAGGAGGTACAGTATTTAAGAGGGATACAGTCAGGGATTTTAACAGGCCTGGGATCTGCTTGTGCACCTATTTTCAATCCATAGCAGTCAGCTGGTTGTCATTTAAACTGGCCCCAGAACTGCTGCTTGGGTAAGTAGATATAGACTACTGCCAAGAACAACAGGTGTTCATAGCAAAGTGGAGGGAACCAGGAGGCGTGAATGAGATCTTTCCCTGCCCTTCACTAAAAGAGCCACCAGTTATTGGTCCCAGTGCACAGTGTCCCACCTCTCACACCTTTTAGGTAGCATAATCCGACACCCACACAACCAGTTCTCTTATTTATTGGGGTGCAGTCACGTGTGCTACTTTTGACCAGGATAGGAGCACTGGGCAGCAGAAGTTCTGCTTGCACCTCCACACAGGCACCTCAGACGAGTGGAGTCTGGCCTCTTCCTCCACGGTCATACACGTACACACTGAGCGGGTGTTCTCCTCTAACGCACGGACAGGATTTAGAATTCACAATCTAAAGTGCAAGGCACGTAACTTCTAATTATTAAGAGTTAGAGGGATAAGTGTAAAAGATGACGACTGTTATTGAGACGCAGGTGCAGTATAACAACACCTACATGATGTCTACTACGGAAGACTACATGACTCAGGAGGAGGACTGGGACAGGGATCTTCTGCTGGACCCTGCCTGGGAGAAACAGCAGAGGAAGGTATGTTCAGATGACTGCTGAACCTCACTGCAACAGTCACTTTGAGGGGGCAAGATTTTTTTGTTGTTGTTGTATTTACCTTTTATATAACCATAGCTTTAGCTGAAATGCTATAGTGACTACAGGAATTATTCCAATATATGAAGACGCTGAAAGCTTACTAAACTTAAAAGAAATCCTATATTAATTTTTTTATTTACAGTAGTAAGAATAGCTGTAGTGACTGGTATTGCAACGGTTTTTATGATTACCCAAGCAAATCTGAAGGAAGGAAATCGTGCTGAACATACTATTCAATACGTAGAGACGATTTAAATAATATTTTATTGTCATTTCGAGCTGACAAGCGAGTTTACATCTTGTACAGCTGTTGGTTCTATTCGCAGTTTTCCTCTGTGTAGTCTTACCACATCCCCGCACTCCTCATTAAGTTTGTGGCTAATTTTATACTGTCTTTATGTGTTATATGAGTCTCTAAAATCGTGTTACTAATCGCAGTAACGAACACGGACAATGTCTAAGACGTTCGCTAGAGTTTTAAAATTACCTCAGAAAAGCGCGTGTACATTTAATCCATTAAACGGGTACTTCCTAAACTTACCTGTGCTTTAAACGATTAAACAGTCGCGCTTCAGTGTCAAAACGCAGGCTTTTCTGTGTGAAGGTAGAGAAGTTAATACGTTTTTGAAGATCGTCTGGTTGACAGAAATGACAGGTGACGTTTAATAACCGTCAGTGGAGCTCGTGCCACGGTGTGAGGTGACGTCAGCCAAGAACAACTGATTGATCTCTGACTGCAAACTACAGATTTGAGGTGTCGAGCTCAGATACGTTTGTCAAGAAAGAAAAAGACCCTTTGAGTTCACAAGTTACCTTGTATATCAGTCAGATGCTCATATTTTGAGAAAATTGTCATATGGTCATTACTGGTTTAGGTAGATGTTTAGGTATGTATACATACACACACACACACTGTATATATCGGTACATATATATTTTAAGAAGAACATATCCATTATTCTTAAATGTCTTGTATTTTTTATTGGGGGGGAAACAGGTTTTTGCAAGAAATGGCATCGATCATAATGTAGAAAAAGCATTGTTTGTGCAGGTACTCTCCATTAAGGGGTCTCACAAACATCTGCGGGATGTTGGCTAGACCTGACAAAGCTGAAAGACTTCAACAGATGGTGTGAGAGCAAGAGAAGTGCAAGAAGGGTTCATTTCAGTCTGTGAATAAACATGCCCTAAAAATACTCCTCAGCCTTGCCGCCTCATCTCCCATGCTGCTCCCTCATTCCCTCCATTCTTAATGCTGTCTTTTCTGAGCTCCTTTGCCTGTGCAGCCAGTTGCTCCCTCTGTATTTGACAGCTAGCAAAAAACGTCACCATGTCAATTGTCACTATTTTAATGGGGCCCATTTTTAAGGTGCACACGGTGGTGTTCCATAGCCAGCGCCTCATATGATGTAAACCATAGACTTTTATGTGTTCCCACGTCTCAACTAAAAAAGAAAAGGTGCAAGTCACTTTTTTTTTCCATTTGGTTAAGCAAATGGTTGAGTGATATTTCTCATGTGGAATAATAACATGCCCACTAGTGCCCCCTGGATGATCGATATTACGTTTTTTACTCATTTTTTTAAACGTTGAAGACTGAGCTGATCAAATGATGCCAATCGATAACACGAAGCTTATAAGAAAAGCTAAGCTAATATAAGCTCTTAACATAATCTTTTTGCAGTGATAAAAGGCTTCATAAGGTTATAAGTTGGGTTTCAGACTTGAGTGCATGGCAGAGGGTCTTTAAACATCCTCAGGCATGTAAGATCAGCATAAGGAGCTGATATCACTGTGTAAATATAGAAAGTGCATCATTTTGCAATGAAACGAATATGGGGGTTGCTTGGGGGTGGAGGTTCTGCACCTGTTCTAGCTCCACAGCGCACATATACAGAAGTCCCAGTAATAAAGTGAGTCAACATGCTGTTTCATCTGATATCTGTCAAAAGGCAGCAGAAAATAGACAAATCATTTCTGAGCGTCGCTGTGTGTTTAAATTCTCTCACAATCTGGCTTAAAATAGCTGATATCACACTGCCCTGTAGCCTATGACTGAAAAAAATATAGATTTTATTACAAATAGTGAAACATTTAAAAGAGATCTTAAGAGTTTTAAGACGTTTTTGTTGTTGCTGCAGCTAAGCTATTGCTAATGTAGCTAGCTAAACTGTCAACTTCACTGTTAAATTTTAAGTGTGCAATCCTTGCTATATACAGGTGCATCTCAATAAATTAGAATGTCGTGGAAAAGTTCATTTATTTCAGTAATTCAACTCAAATTGTGAAACTCGTGTATTAAATAAATTCAATGCACACAGACTGAAGTAGTGTAAGTCTTTGGTTCTTTTCATTGTGATGATTTTGGCTCACATTTAACAAAAACCCTTTAATACACGAGTTTCACAATTTGAGTTGAATTACTGAAATAAATGAACTTTTCCACGACATTCTAATTTTTTGAGATGCACCTGTGTGTGTATATATATATATATATATATATATATATATGATTTAAATATTGACTTCTAGTTACTGTATAGTAAACATAAGAAGGTGCATCTGATGTTGTGGTAGCTTGTGAATTTGCATTTGTTTCTGTTTTTTATGCCTGTAGAACATATAGTAAATATTTCTAGTTGTGATTGTTTTGTTGGAAATATAGCAACATTTTGAGTGTCGTGGCAATCTTTATTTGCTTTTTATTTGCCTGGTTGAGTCTCAAGACTATATGAGTGCATATGTGACGATTATTATAGATTTCTGGTTTAAACCTCATTACTAAATCCCAATTATTTCTGCAAATCAGTTCTTTCAAACTAGACTTCTTTCTAGACCATGAAAAAAAACTGCTTCTGATTCATCGCTGAAGTCCTCACGTGGCATTTTAAGACATTTTAATGCAACAAAAATGGTGTAAATGTTGATAATGACTATTTACTGTGATTGATATTAGTACACTCTTAAAAATAAAGGTGCTTCAAAAGGTTCTTCAAGCGATGCCATAGAAGAACCATTTTTGGTTCCAGAAAGAACCATTCAGTCAAAGGTTCTTTAAAGAACCATTTCTTTCTTACCTTTTTATAATCTGAAGAACCTTCTTTCACCACAAAGAACCTTTTGTGAAACCGAAAGGTTCTTCAGATGTTAAAGGTTCTTTATGGAACCATTTAGACCAAAAGGTTCTTCTATGGCATCGTGAAGCACCTTTATTTTTAAGAGTGTACATGAATAAATGTCATTCATTCTTGTATTTATTTAGTGGAAAATACAAATTACAGTTGCACTGATTGAAAAGAATTATTATAACCCATTTCAAAGCAAATATAACAATCGATATGGTGAATATTATTAAAAGGTTGAAAAAAGTATGCCTATTTTAAGACTATAAGAAACATATTTTGCTGCTGCTTGGGGGGCAGAAGTTTCATACATTACCCTGACCTTCAAATGATCTTTGACATGCATCAAGATGTAAACAATACCTACACATACAGCACACAGCAATCATACAGCTAGCTGCACTGTAAAACAGGGAGATATAAAGATCCTTATTTGCTAACAAATGGTTATTCATGTGGGAAAAGTGATCGCTGATCAAATTAAGTTGACGTCTGTTCCTGTGGTGGTGTGAAGACGCTTCTTTCTGCCAGTCATTTTTTGTTGTGAGGGCTGCTTCTACTTCTGTCGCTGAGTTGAGTTACAATGTTTCCGTTGCTTCTGAGTGTGAACTGATCTATTGGTCAAGGCTCAGATATCATGAGGACATGGCAGTCGTTCTCAATGCCAAAAATCATTGGCACACTTTAAGTTTAGATCAGATTTAGATTGTCGACATTTGCACAGAAATCTATTTGACTTGACTTTGCACAATTCGTTTTTTTCCGCATGACTCACTGCTAATATGATTTACAAGATATAGTCTTTTAGCATGTGAAGCAAAATACATTTTCAAATAAAACTATTTTATTTTTAAATTTGTATTTTTCAGGGAAATATTAACCAATTTGCATATTCCCATTCGTCACCACTACATTTTGAAAGAATATATATAATTTGAATTGTTTTGAATGACTTTTAACTAAATTGGGTATATGTTGAAATGAAAATATCATGCTTTCACTGCCTACACTAAAACAAATTCAGTGTAAAAACAATTTTCATTTAGAAATTGCTAGTTAATTTCACAAATAATTTCAAAGAAATGGCAAGTAGTGCATTGAAATAAATATGAAATTTTGAAGTAGAAAAACTTTTTTTTGTAAAAACCTATTCCAATAGTCATTATTTTATTTATAACTTCTTATATACTTATGTATGCATATCATACCTCCCATGAATACTTATATATAGCGTTTTTCTAAAATATTTAATGCATTTCCGGAGAATGACCCATATATTTAAGATGGTATATTTTTCTCAGTATTGTGAGATTTTGTGAAGTGAGAATATTTTATAGCTCTGTTATGTTATGACCTCTCATCTATCTGGATTTGTGTGTGCTGAAAGAAAATATCAATCTCATAAATCAGTTTTTAAAATTGTGTTCTTGCATATTTAAAAGGCTACGCAATTCCTTTCACCGTTTGTTGAAATAGAAACAGATTTTGACTCTCACGAGTTTCGGGTCCTATTGTGTATTAGTGTCATTTCTTATTTTTGTATTATTCTCACAGAGAGAAAGTGTTTCAGAGAGTGAGTGAGTGAGCAGGCGAGCGGGTGAGAGATTGTGTGGTCAGATCAGATACCAGTTGCTATTCCAGAAGCTGTGGCCATGTAGGGCAGAGCCTATAAACTACCAGAGGGACATACAGGCCTCACGACTGCTTTATGTGTTCAAGTGTTCGGAAATATGTATGTTTAGGTTTGTGTATGTGCAGTTATATCAACATTGGCTTCACTTATGAAAATGGTAATACTATGGTTTTTTTGGACACGTT